GCTCTGAGATCCAACTTTAAGATCGGACTTCGGAGATCCTCGCGTCGGAGATCATGTAAGTGTAACATCAGTACATGACATCAGACTTTTTTGCTTGATATTGGACCTATAAATCTAATTATATATTCGAAACAGCACGAGATGTAACCAAGGTTAATTTAGATAAGATATACCAGCTTTAGGGGTTACAAGACCCCACGAAAGGCAGGCAGAGCATCCTAAATCCTCATGCTATCCTCACGTTGACCATCTAGGTCCAAACTCCAGCCTCTCATTAAAAAACAGCTATTAGGCCCGAGATCCGTCCCTTGTCCCGTAGTGTCCCGTAAGTAAGAGATCGTTCAGATTTTGGTCATTTAGACCCCCTCCCCGCTCTAAAATCCACTTTACCCAAAGCTGGAAAAATGTCACATGTGAAACCTAAATAGCTAAATCAGCATCTCGAGACCTTCTATTATAAAAACCCCGTGATCCTACTATAAGATTATAACTTATAAGGCATAAAGGCATTGCATGCCGAAATTAAGATTCACTTCAACTGGTGATGTGAGCCTGGTATGTTACCTGAATGCCCTCAGTCAAATCTCGAACCCTGTTAATGCTATTCTGCCAAGTAACCTTAATCTGAAGTTCTAGAATTACAGTTCTAATCTTCTAATGTTCTAGTATTTGTGCCCATGCCCCAGATAAGATCTCGAGGCAGCTCACAGCTGTAATAACAGAAGAAATAGCCAGTCACCACTTGATTAAAAAACGAGGGAATGACATTGACAGTTGACACACATTATCAAACGATGGGAAAATCTATGCGACTGAAAAAAAGAATATGGGGTCATTTTGAAGTGGGAACCAGACCACTGCGGTATTATAAGAAATTAGCTAAATTAAATTGCGGCCAACAAATCTCAATCCAGGGATTACAGACCAACATTGGTCGAAGCAGCGAAATCAATCATAATTAAAAAGTGGGGTACTGGTCAGCGGTCAAGCAACAATCTGATCCGGATCCAGTGCCGATTTATTTTAGGTCTGGTATTCTTGGTACATATATTAAAGTCACTATTGTGACGGTACATTAAAACTAGACAGAAACAAAGTGTGAAGGGCCTGAACGGAACCCCTCGGTTTCAATTCCTTGTTTAACACTGCCGTACAGCAAGGACATTCGCCGGGTTCTCCAAGGATGGGCACATAACTCATTATGGTTTCATGGCATGAATAAATAAAAAGTTTGAAGTTGAATTTTGGTCTGGCACGTCACACATTTTATTTAAATTGGTACCAAGGAAAAATTGTTGGAGTTTTCACAAATCATGTATTAGTTATTTACTAATGACTCCTAAAGTGAGCGTTTTTGAGTATATGATGTGCATAAGTCGGCAATTGCGAACAATTTGCTGTTTGCAACTGACCCATTGACCTTTACTAAAGAAACCGTAATTTTGAAAAATTGCCATTTCGTAAGACACAAATATGCTGCTGGCCTGGCCCATTAAAAGAGATGCCCAATAAAGTAGATCATTCTCCAATTTTTGTAGGTGTTTCTGGACACAAAGTGAGTCATCTTACATCTTGTGACCAATGCTGTGTTGCTCATGAGTCTTTAAGACCTTTCTAGTTAACAGTCCAATAGCCCATTTGTGAATATTGTCATTGTTTGCTCGACAAAAATCCGTTTTTCAGCCACATTTCCGAAAATAAGCCTTTTAGGGTATATGTTGCTTCATAAGTTGTATATAAATGTGGCTATTAGGCACATTTTGGTGTATCAGAATAGTCTCTACGACCTTCCTAGGCGGAAATGCCAAAAATCACGGAAATTATGAACTGCGTCAAGCCAAAAACCGTTTTTCGGCCATATTTCCGAAACAAAGCATTTTAAGGTATATGTTGCTTCATAAGTTGTATATAAATGTGGCTATTAGGCACATTTTGGTGTATCGGAATAGTCTTTAAGACCTTCCTGGGCTGAAATACAATAATTCGAGTGACCGCGAAACCCTGAAAAAGGGTGTGGCCGAAAACGCCCTCATTGCATGTATTTCAACCTTGCCATGAAGTCCAAATGTTTTAAGAATCATCTAGAGAGGTGATAACCGTTGAGAAATCGCTTTTAACACGAAAAGCTAACGAGATAGCCTTTTAGAACGGTTGGGATCCGACTATACTTCAGTGATTGGGCTGATGACTCCAGTGAAAGGGCTGGTGACTCTAGTGAAAGTGCTGGTGACGATGAGAAAGACCATAAACCAGGGATTCCTTCGGGAGCATGTAAGATTATATCCAAAGTTTGTTCGCCAATGGGGTGTGTCTGGGTGTCAAAGATCTTCAAGGTGGGTGCTACTTGTGATGAACTCTAGAAGGATGGGGTGGTAATACTCGGTCTGGCCGTCTGGAAGCCCATAGAATTCCAGTTCAGAAACCGAGTAAGGAGGTGCGGCTACTGATGAGAAGCCTCCTTAAAGTTTATTTGGGTTAGAAACGACATCTGGGTCCCTACCCTCGCACAAGATTATTCTCAATTTTCTTGTTGTGTTCCACAACTATACTTCTGTATACTTCAGTGATTGGGCTGATGACTCCAGTGAAAGGGCTGGTGACTCTAGTGAAAGTGCTGGTGACGATGAGAAAGACCATAAACCAGGGATTCCTTCGGGAGCATGTAAGATTATATCCAAAGTTTGTTCGCCAATGGGGTGTGTCTGGGTGTCAAAGATCTTCAAGGTGGGTGCTACTTGTGATGAACTCTAGAAGGATGGGGTGGTAATACTCGGTCTGGCCGTCTGGAAGCCCATAGAATTCCAGTTCAGAAACCGAGTAAGGAGGTGCGGCTACTGATGAGAAGCCTCCTTAAAGTTTATTTGGGTTAGAAACGACATCTGGGTCCCTACCCTCGCACAAGATTATTCTCAATTTTCTTGTTGTGTTCCACAACTATACTTCTGTATACTTCAGTGATTGGGCTGATGACTCCAGTGAAAGGGCTGGTGACTCTAGTGAAAGTGCTGGTGACGATGAGAAAGACCATAAACCAGGGATTCCTTCGGGAGCATGTAAGATTATATCCAAAGTTTGTTCGCCAATGGGGTGTGTCTGGGTGTCAAAGATCTTCAAGGTGGGTGCTACTTGTGATGAACTCTAGAAGGATGGGGTGGTAATACTCGGTCTGGCCGTCTGGAAGCCCATAGAATTCCAGTTCAGAAACCGAGTAAGGAGGTGCGGCTACTGATGAGAAGCCTCCTTAAAGTTTATTTGGGTTAGAAACGACATCTGGGTCCCTACCCTCGCACAAGATTATTCTCAATTTTCTTGTTGTGTTCCACAACTATACTTCTGTATACTTCAGTGATTGGGCTGATGACTCCAGTGAAAGGGCTGGTGACTCTAGTGAAAGTGCTGGTGACGATGAGAAAGACCATAAACCAGGGATTCCTTCGGGAGCATGTAAGATTATATCCAAAGTTTGTTCGCCAATGGGGTGTGTCTGGGTGTCAAAGATCTTCAAGGTGGGTGCTACTTGTGATGAACTCTAGAAGGATGGGGTGGTAATACTCGGTCTGGCCGTCTGGAAGCCCATAGAATTCCAGTTCAGAAACCGAGTAAGGAGGTGCGGCTACTGATGAGAAGCCTCCTTAAAGTTTATTTGGGTTAGAAACGACATCTGGGTCCCTACCCTCGCACAAGATTATTCTCAATTTTCTTGTTGTGTTCCACAATAAGAGTGTATAATGTACTGACTTGGTTAATAAGAGTGTATAATGTACTGACCTGTTTAATAAGAGTGTATAATGTACTGACCTGGTTAATAAGAGTGTATAATGTACTGACCTGGTTAATAAGAGTGTATAATGTACTGACCTTGGTTAATAAGAGTGTATAATGTACTGACCTGGTTAATAAGAGTGTATAATGTACTGACCTGGTTAATAAGAGTGTATAATGTACTGACCTGGTTAATAAGAGTGTATAATGTACTGACCTGGTTAATAAGAGTGTATAATGTACTGACCTGGTTAATAAGAGTGTATAATGTACTGACCTGGTTAATAAGAGTGTATAATGTACTGACCTGGTTAATAAGAGTGTATAATGAACTGACCTGGTTAATAAGAGTGTATAATGTACTGACCTGGTTAATAAGAGTGTATAATGTACTGACTTGGTTAATAAGAGTGTATAATGTACTGACCTGGTTAATAAGAGTGTATAATGTACTGACCTGTTAATAAGAGTGTATAATGTACTGACCTGGTTAATAAGAGTGTATAATGTACTGACCTGGTTAATAAGAGTGTATAATGTACTGACCTGGTTAATAAGAGTGTATAATGTACTGACCTGGTTAATAAGAGTGTATAATGTACTGACCTGGTTAATAAGAGTGTATAATGTACTGACCTGGTTAATAAGAGTGTATAATGTACTGACCTGGTTAATAAGAGTGTATAATGTACTGACCTGGTTAATAAGAGTGTATAATGTACTGACCTGGTTAATAAGAGTGTATAATGTACTGACCTGGTTAATAAGAGTGTATAATGTACTGACCTGGTTAATAAGAGTGTATAATGTACTGACCTGGTTAATAAGAGTGTATAATGTACTGACCTGGTTAATAAGAGTGTATAATGTACTGACCTGGTTAATAAGAGTGTATAATGTACTGACCTGGTTAATAAGAGTGTATAATGTACTGACTTGGTTAATAAGAGTACATATAATGTACTGACCTGGTTAATGAGAGTGTATAATGTACTGACCTGGTTAATAAGAGTGTATAATGTACTGACCTGGTTAATAAGAGTGTATAATGTACTGACCTGGTTAATAAGAGTGTATAATGTACTGACCTGGTTAATAAGAGTGTATAATGTACTGACCTGGTTAATAAGAGTGTATAATGTACTGACTTGGTTAATAAGAGTGTATAATGTACTGACCTGGTTAATAAGAGTGTATAATGTACTGACCTGGTTAATAAGAGTGTATAATGTACTGACTTGGTTTGGAAGAGTGTTTGGTGTAGTCGAAAACTAGCACATCTGAAGATGGAGTTTTGGTTGCTATGACGGAGGGTTTCTGCGGCATGTATCGAGCTCTGTTCACCTCTCCTTCATGGTTTATCTTTATATCTAATTCCACCTTCGCTTTACTGTTACCAAATCCTCCATACTCTGGTAAAAATATCAGTTGTCACTTTCTCTAATGCTAACTTTTAATCCTAGAGAAAATCAGTAGATATTATGAAGTTATAAAGTTATAAAGTTATAAACTCGTCTTCACAAACAAGGGGGGGGGGGGGGGGGGGCCGGGGGTTGCACAGTAGTAATGGGTAAGAGTATAATGCAATGGGGGGTTGCACAGCAGTAATGGGTAACCCTAACACCCCTACTAACCAGCTAAATGCAGCTTACAATACAACTAACCTCCCCTGTTACTAGGTGGTTACTAGGTGGTTACTAAGTGGTTACTAACCTCCCCTGTCTGAATCGTACTGACTGGCATCAAAAGGTACATCTCCAGCGGGTAACGTCACAGACGCTATTATCAGATAGTTTTGCTCCTTTTCTATTCTGGAAATTACTTTTATTAGATAGTTATAGGGAGGTGGGGCATTTCTCCTGAATTTTAAGGGGGGGGGGGGGGGGGGGGGGGGGGGGGGGGGGCCAATGGATATTTTTTTGTGAAACTTGATTTCGAGATAGCAGTTGACCAACAAACTAAGACCAGTGACCGAACTTTTGAGGGGGTCCCGGACCCCAACCGCCAAACGGTGCCCGCAGGGCAGCCACGCCCATATTTGGTCCAAATTAGGCCCAATTTAGCCAAATACTCTGAACATGCCCAAAACCCAAATTTTAGGTGCTCTACTTGTAGCTAGTGGTCTCTTGAAGTCGTATATGAAATTTCATCAAGATTGGACAAAAAATGACTGAGTTATGAGCCAAAAACCATATGCCCATATTTGGGCATACGCACCAAATTTGGTAGATTTCGTCCCATAAATTGGTCAAATATCAATATTTTTCACTGAAACTTACTTTATATGAAAGGTAAGCCTAAACTACATATTCTCTGTAAGTTATAGCTTTATATCTGTTTAAATGTGGATACTAAGGCGAAAAGACCACAAAAAATGAACTAAATTGCCCATATCTTGGTTCGCGATATTCGCGGAATTGATCTCATTAAAATTGTAACAACTCGATCAGTTTTCAAAATTTTTCCATGAAATTTTCGGAATCGACTCGAAATCGCATTTCCACCTTAGTTTGAGAACAGATTTTTGATTAAGGCCTCCAAAAAAATTTGGCGGCCAAATTCTGAATTTCTCCGGGAAAATTTTGGAAATTGGCCGCCAAATTTTTTTGGAGGCCTAAATCAAAAATCTGTTCTCAAACTAAGGTGGAAATGCGATTTCGAGTCGATTCCGAAAATTTCATGGAAAAATTTTGAAAACTGATCGAGTTGTTACAATTTTAATGAGATCAATTCCGCGAATATCGCGAACCAAGATATGGGCAATTTAGTTCATTTTTTGTGGTCTTTTCGCCTTAGTATCCACATTTAAACAGATATAAAGCTATAACTTACAGAGAATATGTAGTTTAGGCTTACCTTTCATATAAAGTAAGTTTCAGTGAAAATATTGATATTTGACCAATTTATGGGACGAAATCTACCAAATTTGGTGCGTATGCCCAAATATGGGCATATGGTTTTTGGCTCATAACTCAGTCATTTTTTGTCCAATCTTGATGAAATTTCATATACGAGTTCAGGAGACCACTAGCTACAAGTAGAGCACCTAAAATTTGGGTTTTGGGCATGTTCAGGGTATTTGGCTATATTGGGCCTAATTTGGACCAAATATGGGCGTGGCTGCCCCGCAGGCATCGTTTGGCGGTTAGGGTCCGGGACCCCCTCAAAAGTTCGGTCACTGGTCCTAGTTTGTTGGTCAACTGCTATCTCGAAATCAAGTTTCACAAAAAAATATCCATTGGCCCCCCCCCCCCCCCCTTAAGCAAAGTACGCAATAGTCAATATCCCGTCCAAATGGTCGTTAATAGTCAATATCCCGTCCAAATGGTCGTTAATAGTCAATATACCGTCCAAATGGTCGTTAATAGTCAATATACCGTCCAAATGGTCGTTAATAGTCAATATCCCGTCCAAATGGTCGTTAATAGTCAATATCCCGTCCAAATGGTCGTTAATAGTCAATATCCCGTCCAAATGGTCGTTAATAGTCAATATCCCGTCCAAATGGTCGTTAATAGTCAATATCCCGTCCAAATGGTCGTTAATAGTCAATATCCCGTCCAAATGGTCGTTAATAGTCAATATCCCGTCCAAATGGTCGTTAATAGTCAATATACCGTCCAAATGGTCGTTAATAGTCAATATACCGTCCAAATGGTCGTTAATAGTCAATATCCCGTCCAAATGGTCGTTAATAGTCAATATCCCGTCCAAATGGTCGTTAATAGTCAATATCCCGTCCAAATGGTCGTTAATAGTCAATATCCCGTCCAAATGGTCGTTAATAGTCAATATCCCGTCCAAATGGTCGTTAATAGTCAATATCCCGTCCAAATGGTCGTTAACAGTCAATATCCCGTCCAAATGGTCGTTAATAGTCAATATACCGTCCAAATGGTCGTTAATAGTCAATATACCGTCCAAATGGTCGTTAATAGTCAAAATACCGTCCATATGGTCGTTAATAGTCAATATACCGTCCATATGGTCGTTTGATCGACGCCACGCGAATTAAATGCTACTAACATATTGTTAGGTCCACAAAAATTAATGGGCGTCAAACAAGGGGGGGGGGGGGGGGGGGGGGTTGTACAAAGAATAGTTACGTAACACCATTAACTCATTAATCTTGTTTGACAGTATCTTGCTTGGGTTTGGGCAGTCGGTGAATACTTACACTCCTTCATTGCAGGACCATCTATATTATAATTCGGAATTTTATGCCTGACCGCCCACCTGCAAATTAGATAAAAAGCAAAAGGTTGCATAGTAACGGTGTTGGAACGCGCACGTGCATGCGCATTGATTGTTGGGGGATCATGTTTTTTTTGTCCATGCGATTTTGTCCGTTTCCAGAAAATATTTATACTTTTTCTTAATGACATTACAGAGGATTTGTCACCGGAAACAAATATAACCATGTACATGTATGCTGATGATACAAAAATATGGCGTAGAATCACGTCCCAGGATGACCATTGGCTGCTCCAGCGGGATATTAACAGTCTTCAAAATTGGGCTCATCATAATAAGATGGTGTTTCACCCTTCAAAAAGTCACGTTCTTTCTATTACCCGAGCATATTCTATGAATCGTAGTGTTAATTTTGTGTACTCAATGAATGAAACGGCTATCGAATACACAGACATTGAAAAAGATCTTGGAGTACATATCAATAGTAAGTTAGATTGGTCACATCACTGTGATATGATATACTCTAAGGCTAGTCAGAGGTTAGGCCTTCTAAAAAGAACATGTTACTTCACCAAGAACACTAAAAAACGTCGGGCCTTCTATCTATCTCAGGTTAGAAGTCATTTCGAACACTGCACAATTGTCTGGCGGCCTCATTCAGAAACCTCGGTGGAGAAACTTGAATCGATACAAAAAAGAGGTATCAAGTGGATCCTTAATGATATTTACTTGAGCCTTAGGGACAAAAAAAGGTATTTCATAGCGTGTAAGGAACTAAATATCCTTCCACTCTCGGTAAGGTTTGATTACAAGGATATATTATATTTTCATAATATTTTTTATGACATGTCAGTTGTGACATTTCCACCTTACTTACGACGTTTCATGGGAAGTAGGTTAAGGCGATCACATCTAGACGATCTCAGTATGATTAGTGACATTTCTCCTCAAGTTCCACAAAACCTTACGTCAAGCCAGACCAGATGTTCAGGCATATCTAAGTCTTACTTTTACAGAGCACACATTCTTTGGAATAAACTCCCTTATGAATTAAGGGAAATCTCAAGGCCATCCGTGTTTAAAACCCATTTAATTAAGTACCTCTGGACAGTTCTAAACGACCATATAACATCCTCTGACAGTTAAACAATTTACCTTAATGTAACTATATTGTCTAAATATAAATTGATATGAAGTATAATTAATAAAATATGTTAAATAAAGTGTGTTTATAATTATGATTTATGGTACATTGTTATTTATTATATTTATATTTTAGGCTGTAACCTTATTAGTTCAATGGAATAAACCTAGCATGCCTTGGTTGCAGCATCGCTTCACTTATAGGTGCATTTAGGGCCCGATGTAATTGCTATGATCAGTTTACTGGTCAACTGGTGTTTCGGTGTCCCTTATTTTGTTTGCACTCGGTCACTTGTCAAGGCATGTAAGGTCATTCGGCGATATTCTCTTTGAAATAAAATGATGTATTTGTGTAACAATTTGAAAGTTTATTGATTAAAAAAAAAATGGTACCGTACGGACAAAAACGGACAAAAATTGTAACTTTTGATTTAAATTGTCTCCACAATTTGTAACAGGCTATCTGCAGAAATGGGTAGCACGGTTAATGACAATGGTCCTTTCTCAAACATGAAAAAGTTTGGTAGATAATATTCACTTAATTACTATAGGCTAGGCAAGAACTCAATACTCAGATGAAGAGCTAGTGAGCATCTGCTATATGTGCTATACTATGTAGTAGATATGGAAATTGAATTTGGATCAAAAGTCAAAATCCCAAAGTAACCAAGCAGTGTCTTCTAATTACTGCACTATAGGACCAATTCAGACTTATAAGGTCGAGTCTTTTAAATTTTTACGATGTCAAACAAATTTAAATGTAATACAAGAACTGAGAAGGTATCGTACATACGAGGACTGAGGAGGAGGAGGACTGAGGAGGAGGAGGAGGAGGAGGACTGAGGAGGAGGACTGAGGAGGAGGACTGAGGAGGAGGACTGAGGAGGAGGACTGAGGAGGAGGACTGAGGAGGAGGACTGAGGAGGAGGACTGAGGAGGAGGACTGAGGAGGAGGACTGAGGAGGAGGACTGAGGAGGAGGACTGAGGAGGAGGACTGAGGAGGAGGACTGAGAAGGAGGACTGAGGAGGAGGACTGAGGAGGAGGACTGAGGAGGAGGACTGAGGATGAGGAGGAGGAGGAGGGAGAGGAGGATAAGGAGGAGGGGGAGGAAGCATTTAAATGTTATTTTCACAACATTTTTTGTCCGTTTTTGTCCGCCCTACATTTTGTCCGTTTTGAAAATACCGCTACCGAACATACTCAACAATTACACCCTGCAGCCTGCCACTTAGATAATAATAATCATGTTATAATATTATTATGATAGGAAATAATATCCAAAGCCGCGCGCTTTTAGAATGATAATGGCGCGAAAATTGTTCGACTGCAATATAATGTCGTCGCCTGTTACCAGAAGACGTTTCCCTGAAATGTGTATGCGATTTTGTATGCGATTTGCGCGCCGCACGTACGTTAAAATAATTATATTTGTAGAATTTATGACGGTAACCCTTCAAAAGTCAAAATAAACT